TGTGTGTGTGTGTGTGTGTGTGTGTGTGTGTGTGTGTGTGTGTGTGTGTGTGTGTGTGTGTGTGTGTGTGTGTGTGTGTGTGTGTGTGCAGTCTCTGGATGGCTTTGTGTTTGTGGTCAGTCAGGAGGGACGCTTCCTCTACATCTCAGAGACAGTTTCCATCTACCTGGGGCTCTCACAGGTAAGGTTACCTCATCACACCCACACACACGCAGTCTTGTACCACAGATGTATCCATCAAAATCTCAGGTTTCCAACCTCAATTTTTCGTCAATCTTCACCTCCCAATAGTGATGTTAGCTATTTCCCTTATTCTTCAAGAACTACGGTATAAAAAAGAGATTTTCAAAGAGAGCTCACCCAACTTCAGAGAACAAGTATACAACAACGACCCCTCGACCTCTAACTATGTTATTGCTTACATTTCTGTAAACATTTTGCTGTTGCTATTGACGTTTCATTCACACATGTGCTAAAAGTATGAACTACTTTCTGCTGTGACTGCAGTTCATCTAGCCTCATGTAAAAAAACCTCCTGGGTCTTTGCAGATAGCACTGTTGTCCAACCCATGAAAATCCCAACTTTAAATGACAATGATCATACTTCCTCCTTCATTTTTTTATTACATTTACTTTATCTTTTTTTCTTTCAAGCCTCCCTGCAATAAATAATTGTAAATCATTTACATTAGGAGCAGAGGTGTTGTCACACTGTGTGTAAGAGAGATGTTAATATTTAAAAAACAGACAAAAACAACAATAATTAGTGCATTTCATGCAGCGAACATCACTGAAATCTCACTCTGCATGCAAGTGTGCTGCCAAGAGAACGTCGACCGGACCTGGTTCTGTGGGTCACTTCGGTGCCCTTCAGATGTCCTTCACTGACCTGCATGAAAACTACAAATCAAACGTATGTGTTAATTCTGCATGCAAATCCACATTACCAGCTTTGATTCAGAAAAACCTGGTTTTGTTTTGAAGGTGAGACTTTTTGTGTCCTGGATTCAGCAGCTGCGTCTCTACCTTTGTGCCTCACACATTAATGGAGAGCAATGGGATTTATTATTAGCTTATTGTTAGCTTATGATAAAAAAGAGAAAGTGATTCAAAATGCAGAGTTTTTAAAAATACACTTTCATATTTATATACTGAAGTAAAAGTGGTGTGCTCAAAGGCATTCAAGCTTGTTCTCCAGTATCACATCTTTGATTTAAATTATGAAAATAAAAGCTGTTCAATATAGCACCTCTGTTGTCAATATGGTGGGCGCTACAATAGTCAGAAGTTTGTTTTTCAAGACATACTTGGAAATATATTGTTCAGGGAGCGGTTTGCCACCTAACCTGTTCATATGACAACACCTAACTTACACCGAAAGTATAATTTTTTTTACTCCATTGTTGATATTTAAGAGTGTTGTTTTAGCATGACCTGTTAGTGTTAGCATGGTGCGCTAACTGATACAAAAAAGATTGTTTTAGGTTCTGACCAGCGGGTCAGAGGTCAGGGCCAATCAAGCTGTTTACCTGCTCGTTTCTCTCTACTGCATATTTAATTTAATTTTCACACTTTTCCCTATACTCTACCTCTTTTGCTGTTATATTGCGTCCCCAGGAGTGTGTGTGTGTGTGTGTGTGTGTGTATGTGTGTGTGTTTGTCTGACTCGAGCTCATTCCCGGGGTGGCTCTCCTTCTTTTACTCCCTCCCAACTGCTCCAGGTGTTCACCTCTGTTGATTGCCTGTGGCCTCTTGTACTGTGAATGTTAAGTCCTGCCATTTTGCCCAGATGCATAAATAATAACAGTAATTACTGGCCCAGCAATCAAAGTGTCGCCCCAGTGCGCTGGGCCTGTCTAGGGGAACAAATCGATAGGCATCTTAAAAGCCACATTGATTGTAGGGAGGGGGGAAAAACACCAAGGGGGATGGGAAGATAGATAGAGACAGCAAACGAGAGAAAGAGAGGGGTAGGAAAGGAGAGGAGGTGTGATAAGAGGAAGATGAAGAGGGATGGGTACAGCACGAGAGAGGAGGGGAAAGAAAAGTACAATTACAGGAGTAATTGAGTGTATTTTTACATGAAAACTTGCAGTGATTTAGTGTTATTGATGGCAATAAAAAGAATAATGTTGGAGTCCAGACCATAACGCTGTCCTATCCCAGAGTTTAACATTCACATGGCAACTGCACAATGAAAAGCAATTGATCAGTGTTAATCATTCTTTTGTCTGTTGTGACTCTACAGTAAAGCCTTTATGACCTACAGGAGATGCAGGCGAAACTCACAACCTGCATGAAATACTTAAGCCAAGGCAGACAGTTCAAGTGTTTCCCGGATGGGACTAACTTTGTATTGCAACAATCTGGTTTTAGAAGGCAGGCCTCTGTGCACTTATTGGCATCCTGGTCCCAGGCGCCAAACCTCTGGTTCACTGTTCAAATGTGTGTTTCAGAAAAACTGCAGTATCTTTATATTTAGGTGTTCAAGTCTGCTTTAGATCCTCTTAATGCTAAACAAAGAAAATAAATGCTTTCTGTGTTTCACAGTTTGATTTAAAATTTTCATAAATCTCAGACTTAATCCGTTTTAGGGCTGTTCAAAATCAAGAAAACATTTAATTGTGATTCTATTGCTGATGTTTTTGATGAATACATAGATTGGAGGTAATTCTTGGACTCTTTGCAATTTTCTTTTTTTTTTAGCAAAACCCAAATCACATTTTGTGAGCTTCAGCTGTTCGGCCTCTGAAAAGATAAAGCGAGTTTGAGCCATGAGGTCACTGATGGTCTTTCTGACTGGCCGAATATGTCACTAGCAGGTAGAAGTTTTACAAATGGTTAAAATATGTCAAATAACAAATATTCAATCCAGACTGTCCTTTGTAACTGCAATAGTGCACACAATATTGCCATGATATTGTGATTCAATATATTGTGTAAATTTAATCTAGTTAAGTTTTGGCCCATCTGAATATTTATGCTTTATACTAAAAATCATCAAATATCGTCCTGATATCCTAAAAACTGTGAATCAGTCGTTTAATTTTGCTCAGAATAGAAATCTGGGGTTGTTGCTCTAATCTTGGATACTATCTCGGTGCGTTGTTTGACTGGACAAGTATGAAATACAATTAAACAACGAAATAAATCATTTTAAGTTAAGACTAACATGTATTTCTCGCTTGCCATATTGCCAATATCACAAACTTCTTTAAAAGATCTTTATTTTATTTTTTACATCTGAAAACACTTTCATCCCTCTTATACTGAACCTGTCTTTTCTACCAGAACAGTCTGATGGGCAAACATCCTCATGCTGTTTATACTTTGATGAAATAATTAGCTGAATAAATACAATGAATGTGAAAGAAAATTGTACTGAAGGATGACAAGACTCCTTTTATCTCCTTTTAAGTGCCTCAAAATAAATCAAATGTAAATAAATTAACTTATTAGAAGCCTACAAAGCCATAATATCGTCATCATCTGAGCTTATAGGAAAACTAATCATGGTTTAGGTAAGCCTCTAAATTTGAGGAAAGGAATAAAAAAAAATCTTTCTATATTTATTCTAAAATCCTAACAAACGTTTAGTCAGATTTAACGTGTGGAAAATATTATTACACTGCATTCTTTTAAACAATGTCTAGGTCATTTAATCCTGCTTTTTAACCTTTCCCTTTTTCAAACAGATGTTAAAACAAACATCTGCATGCTCACTTGTAAAAAAAAAAACAACAAATTAATGTTAGACCAGAAAGATGACAGGTGGAGCAGTGACAGGAGAGAAGAGAGAAAGAAAGCAACAAAGAAAGAAAGAAGGAAAAAGAGAGAACCAGACAGACAATTAACAGACAGAGAGAAAATAAAGCGAGGGAATAAGGGAGGAAAAGAGTGAGACAGTGAGTGTGTAAATAGAGCTTAAACGTGCAGTAGGAATGAAATTCGCCCTGGGATTGCCTAGGTAAACAAGGCAGCCGAGGCTTCTGTGGAGACGCTAATAAAACAGAGCTGTTCTTATCAGCTGAGCAGATGGCCTAACCCATCACATCTACTCAAACAGGGCCTAAGCCATCAGCATTCTAATGAAATTATTTATGATCGAAGATTACATTCGAAACCTTGAACACACAACGCCACGACTACCTGCCCAAAAAGACGTGAGCGGGTGGAGATAGCGGCAGGTTCATGATCGGAGAAAGAGGGAAGGCGCGAGAGGGAGCGTGCGGAGTGCCAACGGGTGCGAACAACGAAGACGGAATGAAAAAAAAAACAACAACACATATACAGAAAAGAAAGGGAGAAAGAATTGAGGGAAGGAGGGAAAGGACAAAACCATTTTGGTATGCTTTGTTGGCGAGTGGAAGGCGGTCGCCGGGGAAAGGGGAAGGACAGACAAACAAACGAGGCTCTGAGTGGAAAAGTAGAACTGGTGGTTTGTTTTAGAGGGCATGTAGCCCCCGTGGATCGACCCTCCCGCTCTGCGTCTCACGTCCCCCTTTCCCCCCCCACCCCTTCCGCCTGACCCCTCTGACCCGGCTTACACCCCGGGCCGCTCCCCTGACAGTGGGGTTGCTTAGCCGACTTAGCTTAGGTCAGGCACCTTGACCAAGGGCACAGCCCCGTCTCACCACCCACCCCAACCCCCCGGACGCCTCTACAGGTATTTATTTATTTGTTTTATTTCCCAGCAATCCACATATAACATCTCACAGCTGGACAAAGAATGGGGATGAAACAGGAGGAGGAGGAGGCAAAAAAAGGATGGAGAAGTAAGAGTACTGTCCAGTGGAAGGGGAAAAAAGGATAAATAGGCTAAAGAGAAAGGAGGAAGAATGGGAGATGGAGGGAGGAGAGAATTGATCTGCGAATGGTTAGTATGCAGCCCCCCTCCCCCCACAGCCCCCTCCCTCCTTCTTCCCTCTCCCATCAGTCAGTGAAGGCTTCTAGTGTGTTGTGGACCACTGCCCGGATGCCTCATACATATTAAAGCCCCCTGCTATTATTTATATCATGTCTCTCCTCCTCCCCCCACCTTGCTCCATGCCCCTCCACACCACCATACATACATGCACGTGGGTCTCAGTCTGCACACACACACACACACACAGAAGTTCTGACAGACACACACACAATGACAGAAAAAAAAAGACAGTCTGGTCACATACGCAGCGAAAC